TTCTAAATGCAACAATGAATTCTTGCCGGTTCCTGCAGATCACTGTCCACCACCCACCGTTTCCAGATCGCTGAGCCTGGTGAGGTCCCTGCACAGGGATTGCCTGGTGACCTGGACTTTCTACCGCGCCCGTGAGGTCTTTAAAGGGAAAAAGAGATAGGAAGGAATTGTACTGAAAAGGTATTTTCTTTCTTTCTTTCTTTCTTTCCTTTTCCTTTTTAAAAATGAAATGAATGGATTGTAAATGTGCATCCATGTCTCTGAGCAATTGGCTTAAGATGTGGCCCCTTGTCCTGCTGAGCTCAAGCCGAAAGCATTGCTTTGGCTCATATGCTACCTCGTTTATTATTGATACTTTCTGACAAAAAGAAAAAACCTAACATTACATTTTACACAGAATTGTGAAGTCAGTTGTTTTTGCCGTGGAACTTTCTGCTTGATTTTCTTTTTCTTTTTTTTTTTTCTTTCTGCTTGATTTTCAACCCCTTCCCACTTTTCCATCATAGCAAGCATTTATGGAGGGCAGAAAAGCAGAGAGAAGATATGGTTATTTTCATTTTTGGCAATGTTAGAAATGGTCTTGATTAAATCATTAACGCCTTATGTGAACTTGCACTGACCACAAGTGGTTCTCTGCAAATGACTGTTTCCAACACTGGTTCCGCAGTGGGAAGCATGTGAGCACCAAAGCATGTTACCGGCATCCCTCAAATGGCACCACTTTGATTACTTTGGTATTTTGTTTACTCTTACTAGAGTTAAGGCCGATGACAATTTAGATTCCTGAGTTAACATGTGATTACTTGTCTTATAGAGTGAAAATGTGTTATTGTTGAAAGGTTTAAAGTCTATTACCATCCCGTGATGTATTTGTATATGTTGGAGAACTTGGCCTTAAGTAGGTTGCTCTACTTTCACACTCCTATTTTGTTGTCTGTAATATGAAATATAGACTTCAAAGGGAGCATTTTGGAATTATCAACTGTAAAATGGGCCCCAAATAGGAGTTTTAAAACCAGATAATTTAGTAGAAAGTGAAAGCTGGCTTCAGTTTAACAATTTCTGTGAACTTTTTTCCCTTGTAACATGCATGCATCAACTTTAAAGTGCTTAACAAAGATAACCAGAAACAACAGAAAACCTCATATGCACTTTGATTTTTAAAAAGTATTCCTGACATAGAAATAGCTTTGTGTTCCTAAGTACAGAATGAAATTTCAAAATAATCAGGATATTTATCAGATTCATTTTGACCTATAGGATAGAATAAAACTGCTCCATTGGGCTTTCAAAACTATAAATCTTTACAGGACACATATCTTCATCTTTCTCCTGTGATGTGGCTGATGGGTTCGAGTGGTAGACCTTTAGACACCGCTAGACCGGGGCTCCTTCACCAGGAACTTCAAAAAATACCACTGCCAAATTGATTCTGACTCATAGTGACTCGCCAGGACAGAGTAGAACTGTTCCCCAGGGCTTCCAAGATTGTAAACTTTATGATAGTGTATAGCCTCATCTTTCTCCCTCAGAGAAGCTTTTGGACTTGAACCACTGAATTTGTAGCCAGGAGCCCAACACTTAACCCATTATGCCACCAAGGACCCTTCCTGGGAACTTTAGGAGGAATTTCTTAAATACCCACAATGTAGTAGAAATCTCTATCATATCTTGGGCTACTACCCACATGGTCAACAATTCAAATCCACCAGCTCCTTTGCAGGAACAAGAGAAGGCTGTCTGCTCCCATAGAGATTCACAGTTTCAAACCCCAAAGGGGCAGGTCTATCCTGTCCTATAGGACTCTAAGGCTGTAAGTCAGAATTGACTCAATGGCACTAAATTGGGTTGGACTGGAGAGCCGGAGTGCTGCTGTTAGCTACCACTGGCTTGTCTCCAACTTACGGTGACTAGCCCTATGCCATTTCATGCTCTTTAGTATTTTTATTGTTAGGGCAGTTGGGTCCCTCTCATTGAGGGTTCCTCCTTATTATCCTCTATTCCTCTACTTTACCAACAAAGCAGTCATTTTCTAGTAATTGGTCTTTCTTGATGGTGTATACCAAGTAAGTGAGCTAAAGTCTCATCATTCTCACTGCCGTTCTAAGATTGATTTGTTCATGCTTTGTCCACCACAGTCTATTTATGTTGCCTTCACCAATAGCACAATAGCTACTTTTATAGTAATTTTACTCAGATTGCTGTATTTTTGGTATGGAACTGGTTTAAAATTCTCCATTATCACTGGAAAACCTTAAAGGTAAATAGTGTAATGTAACTAGGCTCTCTACTCCCATAAAGAGTGACAGTCTATAGAGCCCACGGGGCAGCTCTACCCTGTCCCATAGGGTTGCTGTGAGTTGGAATCAGCTCGATGGCTCTGAGTTTGGAGTTTTTAATCTACTGATATTTGCTATTTTGGGGGTTATATTATTCTAAAACACTATTAATACGTCATTCTGAAACACTATCAATATATCATGTGCAGCGTGTTGAAACCCTACTGGTAAGACAACTTATCATTTGGTGTTGATGTTTGTTTTTAAAGGCCTGATTGCTGAGATAACCCATCAACTTCAAAATGAGTTCTAGACATCAGTCACTGTTCTTCATCACTCTCCCAGACTTACAACAACTCTGTGCCCTTAGGGTAATACTGAATAACAGTGGGGCGGACACGGAGATTAGGAGTACACAGATGAAGCTATGCAGGTAAAGCAGTTTATAGTTATGGCATACGTTTTTTGAAAGACCTTTTAAAAGCTGTTTTACAATGATGAGAAATACAACTTTCCTCTAGTTCCTAAATGTTTCCTCCCCGCTCCCACTACCATGACTCGAATTCGA